ATCATGCCAGATTAATGTGTTCTTTGCCAAAATGCAGAGATAGGGTTGAGACAGCTTCAGTACTCTCGAAGCCATCATTAGGCAGGGTTCATTTCTAGTACTGTATAACAAACCCATAGCAGGAAAGTAGCTTTATCTACCTTGAACTTCCAAGCTGCATTCCTTTCTCCCCTGTCCATTCTAATCTCTTTTTTTTTTTTTTCATATGCATCACAGAAACTTTGGAAGTAGGCACAAACTGGAAACCAGTAATTTCCTTTTTTAGGGGTTATTGAACAGTCATGGATATTAACGTTTACTTAACAACCTGTTCTGGATTAGGACATATGATGGAGGAGAGGAGAGAAGAAGCTTTGCCACTTTGAAATCTTCCTTTTGCACTTTAAAGATTCGGGGTTTATCTTGCCATCAGATACCCAAGCCAAAATTCCTACTCCTGCCAACAGATATCCATAAGCGAAAAGAATGTTTGTTGCTGGCAGCCTGAGTGGGAAAATGTAATTAGAATATTTAGAGGCATGACCAGGCTAAGAGCAACTAGGTCTACACTAATCGCTTAATCATTTAAACATCAAAATTCTGTATTCAAGTCTCTCTCCTACACTTGTTTTAATTTTTATTCCCTTCATTAGACGCAAGGCTCATTTAACTTGTACATATTTATGAAATATGCTCATTTATCAAAGGTTGTCTTAATGATATTTGCAAGGGGTATGTATGGCATTAATTAAAACATTATTTTCCTGACCAAATCTTGCTTCTTCATTGCATTTCTTATAAAGAATGCAGCAAATCTTCTCTTCCAAACTGGAGAATATATTAAATAACATTTATGAATGCAGGGAATTATTTAACAGCCATGAGGCTTATGGACTCTGAAGATTTTCTCCTTGGAAATGCATCACTGGCTAAACCTTATTTGTAGCTCTTAAGAAACTAGCCATCATACCTATGGTTCAAGAATTTTTGCATAAGAGATACTCCTCATCTGCTAAAGGAAGTGGACATAATTCACGCTGCAGGGAAATTCAAAATATTCTTTTTGTAATAGGCTATAAGAAACAAAATCTCCAGGCAGAGGATTCTATAGAAACTTAAACTCAATTATTTTAACATAAATGTGAGAAAAAAAAAAGACTTTTGCTTTTGAAATCATGTGTCTCCAAGAATTGAGCAGGGTTCTGTCCAAAAATCTGTTCCTGAGACTGAGTTAAGTAATTGTTTTGAGTTATGTAAGTGGTGAACAGGTTGTGGTGAACAGGTTGTGATCTTTCTGCTTTGGCAAATATGATAAACACATCTTGTAACTCAAGGAAAGATCTGCCTTTAAAATTGTAAAATGAGAAACACACAGATAAAACTCCTCGTAGAATTGTAATAACAGAAACACTATATATCTTGGCTGAAAATCTATTCATGAAAATACTATTGCTCGTCACAGGAAATGATAAGCTGTGTTTAGGATGAACTTAAAAAAATCAGCTGCTCATGTCAGAGGATGGTCTGTTGCACAACTTTCTGCAGAAAGATACACATTTGCTCTAATTGCCCTGAAGCTGATGAGAAGCCATGTACTCCTTTTGGAGCAGAAATGAATCTGAGCTAATACATCCTGTCCCTCAGCAGGACTAATTGATTTGACCTATGCACTAAACTAACCCTGGCTACAACTTCTGACTGGAGAATAGGCAAAATGAGCTCATGTCTTCTTGCCAAGTACCATGCAGACATTGTAATTAACAATAACTCAAACAAAATTACAGTGCAAATCTTGATGATATTTAAAGTGGTTACTTAAGGGCAGGGAATGATGAAGACCTCTCCAGAATGGGCTGCTCTGCATGTTTTTTTGAGAAAGTAAACAGGCTGATAGGCTCCCTTATCAGTGAAGGAGTCTGGATGATCTCCAGGTGAACAGTCTTTGCTTTCTTAACATTTTTCCACATGTCTTACTTTCTTCGCAATACTTTTTTCTTTTTTGCCAAAATGAAATCGAAGTATAGGTAAAGAAATCTTTGTATCAAGTAACATTACTTAAAATAACAATAGCTGTGTCAGCTAGCAGTACAGCTAGCATTATCTTGAGTAGGTAAAAAGTGTTACAATTAGTTTTGAGTAGCCAGAAGCAAGTTTCAGAAAGTCCTGCCCTTTTATGCAGGGGCATATAGAATAAAATGTCCACACAAATTCACCATTTCTTTCTTCCACTAACTCAGATCACGACCTCAGCAATACCAGGACAAACTCAGCTCCTATCAGTGTACAAGTGGGTGTGTAAGTTTAATATCCTGCCATGAAGAGCACGGAGCCCAGGCCGCAGCGGGCGAGCAGCGAGGCAGTGAGGGAAGCAGCAGCACCAGAGCTGCCTCGCAGAACGCAGAATAAACACCCGCAGCGGCTGTGTAACAGGAAGAGTAATTGAGTGTTAAAAATAATGTTAAACCTCTGACCTGTTCATACCCCTGTAATAAAACAGTTTTCCTTTCTTCCTTCTTTCCAGAACAGGTCTAAACCCAACTCACTTTCAATCTTCACTGAAACAACATCTTTACTTTCACATGCTCACTTTCTTCTTGAGATTCATCCTTGTTTAAAGAAGCATGTACCTCTGATTGCTAATTTTGTTTCCAGGTAAGTCAAGAGGGTACCTGCTTTAACACAGAATAGGATTTCTTCAAAGCCCTTAGGCACCAAAACCAGTAGCAATACTCTCAACAAGGAAAATACTACCTGAGTTTTTTGGATTTATTTTACTGTCTAAATGGAAACAAAGTTTTTTAGAAAATGCATCACATCTATATAAGCAGCAGTTATTTCAAAGCACCTATTCATATAGCTGCCAAAATCATTGCAAAGAAATGTTTTAGCTGGCCCGCTTTGCAACTTACATTTGTCTTCTGACTGCCTTACAGATTACTTGTAATTTACACCGTATTTGTATCTAATATCAAATCTAAAATTTGGGTCATAGCTTCACATTCTTGGCACATTTAGCACAATGGACATACAAGCAAGGGAATTCTATCTCATTTCTCACTCCAGAACCACCCTAAGGCTATCCGAGTGTCCATCCATCCCATATCTCCGCCTGAAACAGAGAAGTGCTTTACAAAATTTACCTGGAAAAATATTCTCATGAGCTTAGAAATAAAGTAACTCTAAAATTTAGAACTCTAATAATTAACCTGCATGCATCATGGGAAGATAATAAAAACTATTGTTTTTAAAACATAATTAACCTATTTTTGTAAATTGAGAAGCTGAGGAAAGTTACAGACAAAATACAGGAAAAGTGCATATAATGTGGCTTTAATGGGACTGTCAGGCAGAATAATGTACATACTGAACAGCTCCACAACAGCACATTGCAAGCTAGAGGATTTCTCTTGGCAAAAAATGAAATATGCCAAGGCATTTCTGTGGATTCTCCCATGTAATCACATGATTTGGCCTCATAAGGTATTTCATGATATACTTATTTTCATGGCCCAGTATTTTAGAAAAAGGACTTATTAAGAGAGAAAACATCACATAGGGAAGAAAAGACATATGACTCCTAAATTAGAATATGCATACCCTCGATCTTCCCAGAATTTTAAGCTATATTTACCTTAGGTCATGAGCTGAAATGACTAACAACTGCATACTAATGGGACTGGAACTCTACAGGTCATTGGGGCACACAGAGTTATGTGTACAGGCATGTCTTTGCAGGCCTTACTAAGCAAATTCAATGTTGCATTGCTGTAAAACACAGTTACTCTGAAAGGCTTTATCAATCACGGATTATTACTATTTTCAAATCAATAAACACAAAGATGAGAATACCTTAGATCAAATCAGAAATCTACTGAAAGGGATATCTTGGAGTCTCTTTCAACGAAATGACTATGAGAAGAAATTTTGCCTTGATACTCTGATGTCAGTGCAAGGTTTACTGCAATGGTATGGTTGTAGAGTGTGAGAAATGCTTATTGTTGCAATGACTTAGTGAACACCGCATTCCACCTAGAAATACTGTTAAGTGTTTCCACCAGTGCAAAGATGTTCAAATACAAACAAAATGAAGTGCCTAGAGGAGGAAAGGAAGAACGAGAATTTATCAAGACTGCTAGTGATTTATGAGAAGTAATGATTATGGGGCCCAGGGAGTGTGAAGAGATGATTCTATTTATCATCCTCTCCCTGATAGCTGTGTGCTACAAACTGGCATCAATATATCATCAAAATATTAAGCTGGTGGCCCTGCAGCCTGGAATTTATTTAGGGAATGTCATTGTTGCAGGTGTCTGTGATGGAAGGGAGGACAAGTTAATTACCTCTTCACCAATCTGGATCTCTCGGACGGAGCGAAGTAAAAGCTGGTATCCTTCAAAAACAATCACACAGTTTGGGTCACAACTGTGATTCAGCAAAGACATGCTGTAAGCGGGAGAGAGAGAGAGAGGGAAAGAACTTTATGGAGGAGTCTTCACTGCCATTACCTCTTCAATCATTTCAGAGTAGCTAACTCTGTTACATCTGAAGTATCAAGCAATTAAGTTACCAAACATATAAAATCCCTGATAAAGCAGCTGCTGTTGGTTAGTGGAGGAAAATTAATGCTTAGAAGATTTATACTCCTTGCTAATAGGAGCTATGCTTGGATCTGTTCACTTGATTCTGTATGCTCCACACTGTAGGAAGGAGACAGCTCCCAGGGACTCCCAGAGCCCAAAACTGAAAGGTTGGAAGCAGAAAAAAAATATAGTATCTTCAAACTGCATTTTAATTATGCTTCTTTTTCTCACTTTTGGGGCACTAAAAACATGCACCTCATCAGTTACCTTGGCCGTCAATGGAAGCTGAGTGCTAAGAGGCTGTCCCTTAAAGTCTAGTGTATAGGAGGCAGAAAATGGACTGTAGTGTGTCTCTAAATGAGATCACTTGGGAATGGCGGTGAAATAAAATGAACTGCCTTTGCCTCTGTTTCTCTCACAGGATTTGGTTCAGCATCTGCTCTTACAGCATGTGATGTCTTCATGGAGCTGCAGCCACCTCCAGGACACGCAGGCATGGGGGCATCTCCCAGTGCACATGCACTCTTCGTGCTCCTTTGACAGAGGCTTAAGAATAACGTCCTCTGGTGCTTTTCATTCCCACATTTTATTAGCTGAGCAACAAGTGACTTTGCCAGACCGACATCAATCTCATAGCAGACTCGGTGCTGAGGTTTTTCCCCTATGGAAATGTCCTATTGGATGAATAATTCTGGCATTGTTAGGTTGGAAGAAGGATTTGTGGTTTATCCAGCTTCTGGCTGCCTTTTGTTGCTTTCCTTGCCTGTCTGATTCAGCAACCCCAAAACCCAGCTGTTGTTGGCAAAATAAAGGATTTTGCTGAAGGTCAGAGTCCCACACCAAACCATGTTTACTTATTCGCTTCTTTTAGAAGGGCTATCAAAAGGACCTTGATTCTTTTGATATCCTTTGGGGCCTAACAATATATTTCTGGTTAACCTCAAATGAACACAGTAACATATACTTGGAGAGGTTTGTCTCCATTTCACTTGTCAGGATTATGGGGCTCATTCCCAAAGCTTCTTACAAAATGGTGAAAAGAACAAGCATCGGCTTTTATCTTTCTAAATGAAAGTAGGGATGCCGAAGCTATCAAGCCATGCAACAATATACAACCTTTTGGTAAGAGTAAACAAAGCATTTTAATCAGATTTCATCCGGTGGAAACACTCATGCTTTGATGACAATATCATTTGGAAACATAGACACGCTCATCCTCTTACACCCAACAGTCCTGATGTAAGTTCACTTGTCTAGGATTTGGTCTAAGTTTACTCTCAGCCTAACTCAGAGTGACATGGTATACGAAAATTCAAACTGTTCTGAACTGAGCAGAGAAAGTCTCTTGCATCCCCTTAGTAGTGCCTAGTCAGAGAACTTGCACAGCTACCTTCTTCCCAGTTAGGAATATTATTCATCCAGATGAACTAATACTTAAGTAATGGTAATGTTCCCAAATATTTTTTACATTTTTCCAAAGTGTATGTAAGGATTTGTTTCTCTTCCACTATGAAACCATATGACTTTTCCTTACTTTTTGTAACACTGATTCCCATGTTCTCCCAATAGGCTGTCATTATTCTTACCAGAAAGCAGATTCAACCTATAAGTGGCCTTACTCAAATCTTGCATGAGTGGCATTATTAGAAAAAGAAATAATAGTGACAGACCCATTTAGATATTCACATATGGTTCAACATTAACAAAAATTTTTGAGAATTTTTGAGATGATCAAATATAATTCTCATTTTTAATTTAAATTTTCAAATACATTTTAATGTTACACATTAATTATTAGAGGTAACTAATTACGTGAGGGCAAAATCTTCCCTGGCATGTATTTCTAGTACACGAAATAAGAAGGAACTCAAACCCATCTTAGAGGGGTCTATTTGCTCATCTTACCAGTTTCTCAGTTATGTTTAATTTTCTAAAATAAGCACTCAATCTTTTTCTTTTAATTGCCAACTTAGAAGACAAAATATCTATCTTCTAAAGCAATACTGAACAGATTTCTTTTACTTTTTTTAGGAAGCCCTAGTCACACATTTTAATGTCAGCATTTATCCATACTAAGAATAGGAATAATCACCATAAAAATCAAATATAAGTAATTATCCTATTTAAATTGCTTTAACTCTCTGATTGGGAGGACCATTAACAATGTTTTCAACTTCCAGTTTCTTGTTTGGATGTGTTACCTACAGCTTTGATGACCCTTGCAGCTACCTAGGAAAGAGGGAAAAAACGAACATGGATTTTGCTTGTGAATGAAACCGTATCCACAGTACCTGGGATACAGGCCAACACCAACATCCTGCATCTCTCCATTACTGATGGTGAAACAGTTACAAGTCACCTGTAAAAACAAGGGAAAAAATCCAGGATTACCAGAGTCATTTGGAAACCCCATACTCAAGTGAAAAAAAAAACTTTCAAAATAAAATGAAGGGACAACTGGTAATTGGATGGGAAACATTCAAGCCCAACACTGGTACTCTTTCATTTTAGAGCAGTCACATCTGGGGGACACTCTCCTGTAAAAGTGCAGTCAACTTAAAGTAGAAATATTAGAATCCTGCAAAAAAATGCGGGGTTAAACATATGCAGAAGCCCAGTTTTCCTGCCTCTGGGGGAGGGGAAAAAAAAAGAGTAGAGCCTGAGAATCCAACCCAGAGACAAGAAGCTGAGCCCAGGGACACAGTAGATGACAGTGGCTGTTGATTACAGGACAGTTTGCAAGTAAATACCTCACTGCAGTAGCATGACATGGGTATAAACAAATACCAGCACTGCAGTGACACATCTTTCATGTTATGGGTATTTTGTTTTGCATGTAAAAGACCACATATAAATCATGTTCAAAATATAATTCATGAGTACAGGGAAATATGATTTTTCATTTCATATCAAATATTTAGCTTGATGATAGTGTATCCTTCTTTCATACGGTCACACAAAGCTAAAGTGGTTTTAGAAATCAGCAGAAGAACGGAAGTTGTTTGCATATTGATGCAGCCAAACCGCAAACCCTCAGACTGAAGTTTCTTGGTGTTCAAATCGAAGATCAGATTAGCACTTTGCAAATGATTAGTATCATTTTAATTGGACTAAAAAAAAATAAGAATCCAAAACCTAATGAATTTTCTAAATATCTGATTTTTTTGTAACCCATGGGTTCATATTTTTTGTATTTGTGATAATTTTTTGAGTCTTTTATCAGTGACACACTATATTTTTATGTAGAAAAACATTGCATGATACTGCATATGAAGAAAAGGCTCAAATATATTCTGCATAACATTAGGTTATTAATATCATTATTTCTCTGTAGATCGGAAAATGAGTTAGAACAGCATTTGGCAGATGTGAAAATGAGTTTTGAAAGTTGCTTTTTTTTCCCTATAGAGTAATTACCCATAACAGTAAATGCACACCTCTATTTTAAAGATCTACACTGAACAATTTAATTGTGTATGTCGCCCTATAGAACTGACAAATTAATATTTATGAGAGCATTAAGCATAAAGTGAAAAAAAATCCTCTTTCAGAATTTCTTATAAACTCTGACAGCAAATTTAATTTAAATAAATGTACATGCAGTAGGGCATGTGTTTTTTTAAGTGATTAGACAATACTTTGATTAGTCTATTATTTATGTAACCCATTCAAATGTTCCTGATCAATTACAAAAAAAATACATCTTAATTATTTCTTTCCTACTGGCATTTAATATACAGTATCAGACAGCTTTTGAGCTAAGATTAGTCCATTCTGAGTGGCAATTATATTAGTTCTAAAAATATTGACTTGATTTTGGTATTTATTGAAAAAATAATGCCTTCCAGGTAAAAGGAAAGGAAAGCCAGCTTGTGCGGACCTTATTTCTCTCTAACGGATTATGAAGTAGCAGAGGTCAAACACCTCTTAGAACTAAATGAATCCCCTTTCCTTGCAAATTTGCTATTATTACTCTAAAACTGCTTATACTAATAGTACCGAATTCTGATCACTGTAGAGAGTTGTAGAGAAATCATTTCATTGTTTTCTGAAAAAGGAAGGTATTCTATTACAGGAAGAGTTATATATACAGAGGCCCCAATAGTTTTCATTTTTCTCTTTTTATAAACATGTGTTCACTTTAAATACCAGGGTATACATAAAGAAAAACATGAGATGAATGGATGCTCTGAGATGCAAACATCAAGAGTGCTTTTCAGAGTAGCTCTCTGTGAAGCCCTTTTTTAGTCTGTTTTTGGTATTTTCATAGTATGCATTTGGCTCTCCATACTCCAAAGAGGTAATAAAAAACCATTTATTTTTTCACAGTTTCAAATACTGATATGGGCCCTTGCTTTGGTTACTTTCCATCCTCAACATGTGGAGAGAGAAAGTGAAATGAGGGGGAGGTTAAAATCTCATCATATATGTGGTGAGAAATTCTGATATATTGATAATATTTCACTGACAATTTAAAGCTGGTAACAGGTATCACATAGACAATTTAAAGCTGGTAACAGGTATCAGATATGAATTTGCTATCATCTACTCATTGCAGGTGGGGCGTGACAGTGTGTTTCCTGTCTTTCATCTACTCATTGCAGGTGGGGCGTGACTGTGTGTTTCCAGAATACTTTCAAAGATTTAAAAATATACTGAATATCTTCTACGATGTTTCTATTCCCATGATTTTTTAATGGTTTTCAGATCTCTAAGTTAAGGATGCCCAGTGCTCTAAGTTAAGGATGCCAAGTGCTTGGCAATCATCCCTGACAAGGATGACTTTGAGATTGTATCCAAGAGTCCACCACAAAAATTTACATTGTAGACTGCACCTCCCAAGAATCAAAAGTAGGAAGCAATTTCTTTACAGAATACCTGAAGAAAAATCCTTTTTCTAGGACTCCTACACTTTTCTGTGTGTCTCGACTAACAGCTAACTTAGCTGAACAACGGCAAACCTATTTTCCTGAAGTTCCCTGAGCTTAACTACCTCTATTTCCATGGAAAAACAAATCTCATCTTTCTCAAATATTGTGATACTTCTTTTGGTTTTCAGGATCACCTTGCATAGTCTTCTTCCTGCCTTAACTGAGCCACCTTACTCCCTATACTATCATCTTCAAAGTTTTGACTCTTTATAATCACAGATTTTAACTAAGAAAGAATAAACAATTTCAGTCACTCTAGTGCTTCAAGAAAACGTTCCTTCCTCAGCAAGGTCATCATCACCCTTGTCATCTGAACTCCTTTAGAAGTTTAGAATCATTTATCTCAGTTAATTTACTTGTGCTATTCATCTTGTCCCTTCCTTTTTATCTAGTTCCATAGCAGTTAAACTGCATATTAACATAGAGAGACTGAATATCAGGAGTTGCATAATAGAGTTACACCCACAACTAAGCAAGAATGTCTACAAATGCCCAAACTTGGGAGCCAAAGCCAAATTCCTTGCCATTTCTATTCTTTCTGAAATGCACATCTCCCAAGAGAATTGAAGGAACATTATATATATACTCAGTAAGGGAACACAAGTAGAAGATAAAATCTTTCCTAGATTGGTGAACACGCTAACAATAAATCAATGTTAGACACTAACCATTATTTTCAGAGATTATCAGCAAACTAAAATTGCTGTAATCTTTTAAATTTAATTTCCTCTCTAATCAGCTTATGAGAACTCCGCTATTTACCTCCTAAGGAAGCTACTGTCCGAGCAAACTCTATCTGTGTCAGAGCAACAGTTCAGTGGACAGCCATGCAGATTTGCTTTGGTGTTTGTATTTGACAGATTACGAGGTCTTCACTTTGGCAACATATTGAGCTGAATTTGCTTTCAGTTCTAAGTCCTAATCTTGAGCCTTGTCACTGACTGTAGAACGACTATGGCCCCCATTCAGATATTATTCACAGCATCTATGCTAGAGATTTGCATTTGGATTAAGTGAAGCAGATCCAGAACTGATAGCAGGACATTCTAGACTTGGAATTCTAACACTAAGTTAATGGAAATGCGAATAAAGGAGGAAAGAGAAGAAATTAGTACTGGTTAATACTTACTGTTTACAAATACTAGGACTAACAATCAATAATTTTATCTCTAAGTGTTTCTCTAAGAGGAAGCAAATGCTCTCTAAGTGTAGCTAAGAGTGAGACTGCTCTTCCAACACAGCAAAGAAACTAACATGAAAAGACTTAATAAAGGGCGTATTTCAGTGATAAGGTCAATGTAATTTTCAGTTTGGATTTAGAATGAATCCGATCATGCCTATAACTGAAGTGTCACAACCGGTGCATTCTAACCTTCCATGAGAAAGAAAGCCTTAACTAATACGGTTTTCCCTGATATATGAACAGAACACAAATTTTATATATATATATATATACATACAATATATAGAATTATATTAAGTTTCCTATTCAATGCCAAAGCTGGCTGGTTATTCCCAGTCACTAGTAAAAATATAACAAAAGATGCTCTAACCAAGTCTCACTTCATTTACAGACTTCTAAAGAGATGCCAGCATTGACCAGCTGGCAGGGTTGGATGGTAAATTCTACTGCATCCAGCAGTGTGAGGGGCACACTGATTTGAATGACAGGGACATATCCCAGAGACCTCTTGCCCCACTACAGTGCTGCCCTGATGGTTCACTTCCACTTGAGGATAAAACAGATAGTGAGCACGGACGCTTGATAGACCTCAAATCTTCTAACGACTTCATTTGGCATGTGGAGGGGTACAGTGAAGGAGGTGGTGCTGAACTGTAAATGCATGGTGTGCCACATCAGTGCGCCAAGCCCACAGTTTGTTGGAGGGCATCTCTGCTACCAGAGCATGGCTTTTATAATGTATGCTTGCACATTTTACTAAATCAGGAACTCTGAATCTGATTCTACTTTGCTTCATACTGGGGACCTATTTGCTTGTTTCCACAGGAATCACACAACCAAAACCAGATGAAGGAGCTGCTGGAAGGATCAAATTAAATGAAGAAAATGATTCCTTGCTGTTCTGTTCCAGACTGAAATCAGAACACATTAGAATAGCTTTTATCTCATTTATGTTTGCAGACTAAGGAATGGGATCAAGTACTTAACTGTTTGTGATACATAATCAAAAGCTAAATTTTGCTGCAATACTATGAAATTACATTTCTTTCACATCATGACTGAATTTGCAATTTTTACATTTGACTTTAAGAACAATGCAGGCTATTAATCTCCCGCACAAAATCATCAATATTTTGGCTGAATACAGATTATCATTACTTTAGAGCTAGCTACAGCAAAGATGACTATTTCAACTATTTTTTAGCTCTTCATCTTATGCTTTGAAGATCTTTCCTCACATTATTTGCACATATTTCAGCCCCTTTTTTTGCTATCTTAGCACACACGAGTTTCTGGCTG